TACGAAAGGATACTTCCCCCCCCCCTCTCCGACCTTCAGGATATCCCATGAGGACATGTTCATTGAATCAAGAAATTCGATAGAAATACAGTTTGCAAACTATCTGAAATCAGCAGCTGAATACAAAGACACATTTCATTATGGACATTTTCTCATGAAATCCACTAAAACTTGGTTCGACAAAATTTGATTAAGCAGGAAAGAAATTGTAACGATTAACCGCCTCAAATCTAACCTCAATGGTAGTCTACAGAATGAATTGTGGACTCCCCGGCGTGTTCCTGTGGAGCTGAAATACAAGATATTAACCATGTAATTTTCCAATGTAGTACTTATAGTCACAAATCTTTTCACCTTCAAAATTACTGTCGATCTAAATTTCTCGGATCTCCCGAAATTTACCGCGCCCTTTCCCATCCCACTTCCAAATTCTGCAGACTCCTTATGGCCTCCTTTATGAAGAGGCCTCATTTACTTGATAATTCCCTCTCTCCCATGACGCGCGACCACCGGTGGCAACAGGCGCCCGGTTTGAGAGGACAGCTTCTCCCACTTCTAAAACTTCACAATCGATTTCCGTGAAAGCGGACATATACCTTTAACAAGGCGGACACTCAATGGTTCAATACCAACCAGGTTGCAGAGCCAATAAAAAGAGAGCTAATAAAGAGAGAAGAAGAAGATATATAGCATTTATATAGAGATATACAAGGTGTGTCCCAAAATTTTCCGAACTTTTGAAATAAAACAACAACGGTTTACTTTTTTTTTCAAATTCAAATTTGTTTATTCAAAGTAGTCCCCATCGGACTCAATACAACGTTTGGCACGATCTAAAAGCATTTCGAATGAGTGTTTTATGTCGTTCAAAGGTATGTCCTTCAGAATAGTGGTACAAGCCCTTTGGATGTCTTCTACGTCCACATACCGCTTTCCTTTCATGGACAAATGCATTTTGCCGAATAGGTAGAAGTCACAAGGTGCCATATCAGGTGAATACGGGGAATGGTTGATTGTTAAAATGTCATTTTTAGTCAAAAAATCAGTGACAAGTGTCGAACGGTGAGATGGCGCATTATCGTGTAACAAGCGCCAACTTCCTTCTTCGCGATATTCTGGCCGAATACGACGAATGCGGTGCACCAAACGCTTCAAAACGCTTACATAGAATACAGCATTAACTGTTTGGCCTGCTGGAACGAATTCTTTGTGCACAATACCCTTGGAATCATAAAAACAAATGAGCATTGTCTTCACTTTTGACTTCTCAAAACGCGATTTTTTGGGTTTTGGGTCGTTTCGCGCCTTCCATTCCGCGCTTTGACGCTTGGTTTCTGGATCGTATTGAAAACACCACGTCTCGTCACCAGTAACAATGCTATAAAGGAAGTTTTGGTCCTTTTTGGCTTCCTTAATAATGTCCTTTGAATGTTGAATTCGAAGCATTTTTTGGTCGTCAGTCAACTTGTGTGGAACAAATCGTGCACAGACTTTTTGTAGGCCCAAATGTTCGGTCAAAATGCGATAAATCGTTGATTTGGGGATGTTCAATTCCATTTCCATGTATCTCACTGAAGATTTTGGCTCATGCTTGATGAAATTACGCACAACTTCGATGGAATTTTCGTTAATTGTCGATTTTGGGCGACCTGTATGTGCGTCGTCATTTATGTCCTCACGACCGTTCTTGAATCGCGTATACCACTCATAAACACTGGTACGGGCTACACAATTATCACCATAAACTTGTTTCATCAAATTATGGGTTTCGGTAAATGTTTTACCAAGTTTAAAACAAAACTTAATATTGGCTCTTTGTTCGAAGTTCATTCTCGTACCGATGTATACAACATACTGACACTTGAGACGCCATAACTTCGTTTCCACTGAACCAAATGTCATGAAATTTTCACTGGAAGTCAGGTAGGGATGTACCTTTCAAACGCGCAATCGAACACACAGATGGCGCCACCCGACCTATCCCTATTGAAAAAGTTCGGAAAATTTTGGGACGCACCTTGTAGAAAGACGACGTACAGCTGTTGCAATTGCTAATATCAGAGAGAAACCTGAGAGTGGATGCTATCCAGTATTATTTCTTTTTTAATAATTGTATATTAGCAGAGAGAAATCTGAAAGTGGACATTCCGACCTTTTTCGCGCACCAACCTCATAGGGTAATGTCCACGTTTTTGTGATTCTTTTCCATACTATTACGTGGATTAGATAAAGACGAATAATCAACTTTGATTACAAGGTTTGGTACACGAAAAAGACCGGGATGTCCACTTTCAGGTTTCTCTCTGCTAATATACAATTATTAAAAAAGAAACAATACCGGATAGCATTTCCAAAAATTGCAGCGAACATGGTTTTTTCTTTGTTTTGCAAAGAAATTAATTTTGGAAAATATATGATTTCAAGAACATGACATGACATGTCATGTATTTTAGCGATGTTTGCTATTAGTTAAACAAACAAAGGAATTTTTGCAATACTGTTTATCAGATACGGTGGGGTGTACAGGAATTAAAAGGTTGCAACATTTTTTTTTATGGTTTTCGGCAAAATTATCAAAATGCGAGCACTGTTTGCGGAGCGGTTAGGATAGCTATCAACGAGATGACGGAATCAAAATATACAAGGTGTAAGTAAATATATATGTAAGTAAATATTTTATAATTATAATATTTTGTATATTAGGGTAAGTATTCTGCTCATATAATGTTTCTACTTACTTGAACAAGATATATAAATGTTTCTCTAATATCTTCAGATTTGAGAGAACAATTTTTTAACTTCAGAAACCAAGACACGCCGCAGTACGTATAATATACGATCAAAGGGAAGATGGATTAAGGTATTTGCGAATAAGGTAAACTTCTTTGGAAAACAATCTGTCATACGTATTTATAAAAATATTTCTATATTTCGCAATATAATTGTTTTGACGCTTATACTACTGTAGAAATTTTCTCAAGAATAGATAAACGCAAATTACCCATATGAACAGGAGCATTTGAATAATAAATATGATTGGAAACGAGACCGTTTATATTAAAACTTGAAATACGAAGCGCCTTACCGGTCCGAGTGTTAAGATGTTGAATTACTATATAATATACATTCATTTAAATTGAATTAATTTTCAGAAATAAATTGCGATCCGATGAAATTATTGGATTCACACAATCAATCTGAAACAAATAATCCCCCTAAAATTTCCCAAATCTTAAAAAACTGTAATAAACTTATTGCCTCGGCCGGGAGTCGAACAGATTTCTTGCATTCCGTGCGAGCGTCCTAAGCCTTTAGACTACCGAGACCTTAGCAACATTCTTCGCAATAACCGATATGTATAGAGAGTTTATTACAATTTTATAAGATTTGGGAAATTTTAAGGCGCTTCGTATTTCAAATTTGATTAATAGTTTATGTAATTTATCATTTGAAGAAGCTGTAATATCAATATGTATACAGGCAATATCAATCTTTTATTACAGGTAATATTAATCTTTCAAGAAGTATTTTGCTACATGTAACATTTTTATTATATGAGCCAAATATCGATTTATCATCTTCAGCCTTAAAAAGTGAACAATGTAATCTAAGAAAAGTAGACGTTGCTATGTAGTTTACATTCACTTTGTCAGAGGGCAGTAGTACACAGCAACATTTTGCGGTTACAGATTTTGTTCCATCATGTCCTCTCTCACGTTTCTCTTTGCTGTATATACTATAGCTATAATATATACAGTAGCGCAACTCTCCTAATTTTATGTTGGCCAAAATGGAGTGCGCATGCGTAAAATAAGTAAGTTTAATAGTAAGTTTTGCGAGGAATTTTGACAGAGTAAAAAAAATGAAAAGAGAAAAAAGTTTAGGTGGTAACCGTGGCAACGCTAGGTAACTTACTTATTTCACGCATGCGCATGTCAACATTAATCTCAAAGGTGCCAACAGAGAGTGCGCTATTGTATATACTGTGCTATAGCAGTGCTGCTAGACATGCCCCGCACTCGACATGCGCGCAGTCTAAAGCGCTAGTAGAGTATCTAATCCGTTCGTGAAACTGGCATCCTTAGTCGCCCTAAAGAGAAATAAAATTATAAATATATAGAAATTAGACATACCTCTTATTGTGAGGTATCAACTTCTACATTAACATTATTTACATTATCTATGTGAGAAGCTGATTCAGCATGCCTTGATAAATTATATGAACAACATTTAAACAAAATATTACAAATTTTACATTAAGCTTTATTGTCATTCTCTGCCAACGAATCTTTAAAGATATTTTTGTCTAATCAAGATCTTTTAAATTTTCGGATATATATACCTTTTTTTGGATCTTTTTCCTGACTCCATTGTGATTCATTTTCTGACCTAAAATACTTTACCTCATTTCTATTTTTCCCTTGAGATTCCTCGCACTTCCTGTTGTCTGGTTTGGCGCGCAAACTTCGCGATTCACACGACACAACATCGTTACTTTAACCTAATGGTTACAGTACTGCGCGCTAAGCTCTACTATAGTATATATCATGTGTACTATATATTTCGAGTGAAATTTTCCTCAAAGAGGAAGTTTTGGAACGTAGTGACAATATATACAGTAGCGCAACTCTCCCAATTTGGTGTGACCAAAATGAAGTGCGCATGCGCGAAATAAGCAAGTTGCCCCGTCTCATTTCTTCCTTCTTTATTGCTTTCTTTCTATTTAAATGACTGTTTCAATGTTCCATTTAAAGAGCTTTAAGAGATTTAAGAGAGCAGAAATTTAGAGGGAAATATAACCTACATTATCCATTTGGTAGTGTTATGTGAGAAACCTCAAGAGAGTAGTCTTGTAAAATATCTCTTCATTTTGTTCATTAATAAAACATTCCCTTTTAATATTTTAACATGCAGGACTTTGTATCTTACGTATACTACATGGGCTGAAAAGTCCCGGGATTTTTAATGAAAACAAGCGTTTTTTGAGCAAAAAATTATATTTATTCCTCAACATAGTTGCCTTCGAGGGCGATACACTTAGTATAGCGATTTTCCAATATTTCGATGCCCTTTCTGTAGTACGAAACGTTCAAGCGTTTCGTTCCTTCGAAATACGCCTCGATTTCCGCGATGACTTCCTCATTCGATCTGAATCTCTTTCCCTGAAGCCACCGCTTGAGGTGTGGGAACAGATAATAGTCGCTGGGGGCCAAGTCTAGAGAATACGGTGGGTGAGCAACCAATTCGAATCGTAATTGGTCCAATTTGGCCATCGCTTTCAAGGACGTGTGTGACGGTGCGTTATCGTGATGGTACAGAACGAAGGCGAAAGTAGCGTCATTCAAACGACTGTAGCTTGTAAACGAATGGACGAAATGTCATGAAACTTCATACATAAACTAGTGACAGATGAGCCTCTCGAAATGAGTCATGTTTATTTTCTAGTGGCGCTAGAAATTGAAAAATCCCGGGATTTTTCAGCCCATGTAGTACATTATGTCAATATAATTATCAAAATTATTTTAATATATATTGTATTAATTAATATATATCTTTTCTATATAAAATATATTAAATTTTTTATTTATTGTATTTTTAATTTATTTTTTGGACATATACATATATATAAATTTTCTTTTATATCAATTCAAAACATTTTTGTAGAATATATTTACAATTAATATATGAATATTTCTCTTTATAAATATATGTTTTAAAAGTAATTTAATATTTTTTCCTAATATTTTTCTACATTTTCTCTTTATTTTTCAGTATATTTATAATTTATTTTTATTAATTTTTGTTAGGTTCAGATTATTTCATTGTAATAATAGGTTTATTCGCGTTGCATGCTCTAATATGCTCCTATAACAGCTCTTACTCACTCCAACGCATCTGTTGGAATACGACGCAAATAACTTTAGTGAGTTTTGACAGAGCGAAAAAAGGATGAAAAGAGAAAGAAGTTTAGGTGGTAACCATGGCAACCTAAGTAACTTGCTTATTTCGCGCATGCGCACTCCATTTTGGCCAACACTTACATAAAGGTGCCGACAGGGAGTTGCACTATGTACTGTGATGTAGCTTAAACAATTAAAGCTTAAACACAATAAGCACAAGCAATAGGCACAGGAAATAACAAGCTGTCCAATTAGAGCTCTGAGATATAATATCGACTTGCACACAAGAGCTCTAATTGGACGGTTCGTTACTCACTGTTGCCTGTGCCTATTGTGTTTAAGCCTTTACTCAAAAGAATATATAACACAACAAGGTTATAGATTCGACTAGTGATGGGAGATGACAAGAATTCGTCTGCTTTAGTAAACTTTGTGCGCATGCGTAAAATGACGTGCAGCTCGATCGAATGATGGATAGTAATAAATTATTCCTCTTTTAACCTCTAAGGTACTGTACGTCATTATAGTGACTTTCTCGAATGCTATTTCTCCGAATAATATGTTGGTATTCATATGATAAATCGGCTGCAAACATAATAAAAGACAAAATTTATTATTATTCATGAACACACTATGTATCTTTAATAAAAACTTTTCTTTTCTCCCTACAACTTTCTTAACATCGTTATTAGGGGTCTTATAATACCATGAAATATGTACGTCATTTAAGACTGCTCAGCTTTACGCATGTGCACGAAGTTTCCTAGAGCAGACGAATTCTTGTCATCTCCCATCACTGGATTCGACGTATAAATGAAAAGTGAGGTTATGACGCAATATATGAATTAAAATACGGGAGAGAGAATGTTGTCGAGGAATGAAAAAAAGCGTTTACCTAATGATGAAAGTAAGCGTGAGGATGATAGATATTACAGGAAAAAGCATCACGATGATCGTAAGAATGAAAAACACATTTCAAGATCCGCTGTGCGAAGCGACCAGAAAATACGCAAGATTTTCGATGACGCGAGAAATTCTCTGTTACGAAACTCGTCCTCGGAAAGTGGTCATGAAAATAGCAACGAGGATTCGTATTTCAGTAAATATAAACACGAATTGAATAAGATTTTCACGGCAAATCCGAATCTCGTCCATGACATTGTGGATTTTTGGAAATTCGTCGAGAAATACGAGTCTGTTAAGAAACAATTAAGCGATAATGATGAATCTGAGATTAATTCTGTTCTAAATTCCATCGGGCTGCCACAAAAGTATCACAAGTCTCACTGTCTAAACTTCAAGCTTAATTTGTCCTATGGAGAATTGTTTGCCAGAGTCCTGGAAACAAAACCATCGATCGAATTACGACTGCTCAAGTTCAGAGATGTGGTACTCTTATACTTAGACTTTAAACAAAAGGAGAAATTTGCCAAATTAAAAAAACTCCGAGACACCCAAGCTAACTTACCAGTTGCACGATACAAAGAAAAAATTGTCGAAATGGTAAAGACAGAGAAGGTAATTATCATAGCAGGAGACACTGGTTGTGGAAAATCTACTCAAATCCCTCGATACTTATACGAAGCTGGTTTTCAAAAGATTGGTAATGTCAGCTTAAATATTTTATATCGTTTTATTATTTATATATATATATATATATATATATATATATATATATATATATATTTATATATGTATATTGCAAAATGTAATTTTTCTTCAATTCATTTGTAATACTTGTATAGCATGCACGCAACCCCGAAGAATAGCATGCATCTCCTTAGCAAAGCGAGTTGCTTTTGAAACATTGAGCGATAATCTTAGTACAGTTGGATATCAGATACGTTTTGAGAAACAAAGAAATCAAGAGACAAACATTACATTTATAACAGAGGGTTTATTGTTGCGTCAGGTAAATATCTAAATATCTGCAAATTAGTAAGTAAAGAAAAATAGTCTCGACAAATTTTATAGAATACAAATCATCGTTTCATTTAGGTGTCAAGTGAGTCGACTTCACTTGCATATGATGTGATAGTTTTGGACGAGGTGCATGAACGTCACCTGCACGGAGATTTTTTACTCGGCATAATGAAATGTATCATTTATCAAAAATCCGATTTAAAATTAGTTTTAATGTCTGCCACTATCAATATAGAACTTTTTAATAATTATTTTGCAAAGGAAAATGTTAAAATAATAGAAGTAAGTAAATAAGTAAGTGCATGTGCGCGCGCGCGCGCGCGCGTGTGTGTGTACATCTGTATGTATGTATATATATACATACACGAGTATACACTTCAGAATATAATATTTTAATAATTTTAAAAGCTTATATATAATCACATCAATGCAATTTTAAATACTTCAGTATAAATTAAATGTCAAGTATCCTACTAAGATTTTTCATGTATTTTCTTCAAAGGTACCTGGAAGATTATATCCCATTCAATTGTTATATCGTCCTGTAACTGTACAAGATCTCAGATACAAAAATGATCGATTTAATCCCAGCCCATACGTGCAAATTATGCAAATAATTGATCAAAAATATCCAGGTAAGGAAACTTATATTTTATGTTATAATAATACCTAATAATAAATAATAGTAATGTAAAATCAAAAAGTTATGATAAGGAATAAAAGTAAGATTATTTTATATTCATTAAATTTTATTTAAAATTATCTCATACAAATATAAATTAAAATAATCACAACGATAGAAATATTTCAGTTAATGAGAAAGGCGATTTATTAATGTTTTTGAGCGGAATAAGTGAAATTACTGCAGTCGTAGATGCTGCTAAGGAATATAGTATAAAAAAAAATAACTGGATAGTTTTACCACTTCACAGTACTCTCTCTATCATTGAACAAGACAAGGTATACTTCTGCGATACTATTTTGACAAATTACTTTCATATATGCGTGTGTATATATGT